ATATGGCAATTAGAACTCTGGCCCTTTCTACACTGACATATAATCCAGATTATCAAAGAAGATAATATACGTTATCTGCTTTGAACTGGATTATGTGAGTCTAAACTGCCATATAATCCAGTTCAAAGCAGATAATCCTGATTTTATATTGCAGTGTAGAAGGGGCCTCTATTCCTGTGCTTATATGAATGTGACTATATCAGGTTTATTTACTAATGTTTCAATATAAGTAATTGTATATTTGCAAAGGTGCAAATGATGATGACTAAATACAATGTGTTGTTTTTTTATTCACTACTATAGAGCTTCTCAAGTACACTGCTTAACCTGTATTTACTCAAAACTAATGCTCACCTATTTTGGTTAAATTACCTTGCCAAAATTGGTGTGCATTAGATTTGTGTAAAATGGTAATCTTAGGGCCCTTCCACACAGCTATATAACTCAGAATATCAAGGCAGATAATCCACAATATCTGCCTTGGGCTGGGTTATCTCAGTCCACACTGCCATGTAATCCGGTTCAATGTGGATTTTGAACAGCTGTGTGGAAGGGGCCTCAGTGCTGTGTCAAAGCAAAATGGAAAGCTGCTTTAGGAGCACCTGTAATTTTCAATGCTATGCTATCCTGGAATTTGTAGTCTAGTGAGGCATCAGAATTCTTTGGCAGAGAAGGCTCAAGACCTTGTGAAACTACAGCCCCCATAACTCCATAGCATTGAGCCAAGCAGTTAAAGTGGGTTCATTCTGCAGCATAGATGTAACCCAAAGTATTTTTTCCATTGTTCAAAGTTTGATGTCCTAACTTTTTAAAAAAATAAGGAATTCTAAGTATGCAACAACAGTAATGGCCAAATTACAAAAAAAAAAAGAAAAAGGAATGTTTTGTTGCCCTCCATTACATTTGGCAAGAAATACTTGTTTTGGTTTCAGGATTTTGAAAATTGAGGCTGTTTGTCTTTCAGCACCATAAGTACAAGACTGTGAAACCTAGACACATGAGCCTTGCCAAGGATACTAAGTGGACCATAGAGGTTTGCAACTCATGGGTTAATCAGTTTTATTCCCATATAGACACAATGGTACTCTGGGCCCTTCCATACAGCCCTATATCCCAGAATATCAAGGCAGAAAATCCCATAATATCTGCTTTGGACTGGGTTATCTGAGTCCACACTCAGATAATGTGGGATTTTCTGTCTTGATATTCTGGGATATAGGGCTGTATGGAAGGGCCTTCTGTTGTACCATCTTAAATGACTAGGTACAATAGAAAGATAGTATTAGCCTTCTGCAGTCAGCAAAATAAGCTGCAGCCTGGTCTGGGATATTCATTTCTTTAAAGGAGAGGTAGGCAAAGTGTGTTGCATCAGATGTTATTGGACTGCATCAACTCTACGCAGCATAGTCAGTGCCAAGGATTGTTGGAAGTTGTAATTCAAAAACTTCTGGAGAGCTATGCATTGTCCACCACTGTTCTGGAGCAATTCTGGGCTTTTTATGTTATAGGGCCCATGAATTGTGCAAACTGTCAAAAACAGAGAGTTAGAGAGAGTGCCTGGAAAGATGAGGGAGCAGAAGGATAGATAGACCAAAATAAAAATAATAATAATAGTAGTGATGGTAGTAATAATTTTATTTCTTACCCACCTCTCATCGAGGTGAGTTACAACATGGCTAAAACACATAATCATAAACATTATATGAAATACACATAATAAAACATTTCTATGAAATACATATACTAAAATACACAGGGCAAAATTAAAATATAGTGAAAACAAGATGTAAGTTTTAAGAACCTCATCGCATGCAATAAAATCAGTGTTTCTACACATTTAAGAAATGGCTGCTGACAGAGCTCATCACATGACGCAAACTCTTGCAGTGGATTCCAGGTATTTCATTGTTTCCAAAGTGTGGTCCCCTCCCCCCCCCTCATTACACTGCCCAAGCCAATTGGCAATCAACTTCTTTCTAAATTCCCCATGTAGAAACATGTAAAAATGCCCAATTTACCATGTGATAGGAATTCCCCCTTTGCCCACTTGTAAACATAATGTTGATGTAATCATGGAGGGAGGAGCCGAGTTGGGCAGTATTGATTCCTCTCTTGCACCATTATGGTTTTGGGACTGAAGAGAAAGGAACAATCATTTATATCCCTTTTTAAAAGTAAAATAAATAGACTTACCTTTTGAATTGAGAGCTATCTGTACTTATAAGAGAAATTGTAATAGCCAAAGAAAAAGGGGGAGGAGACAATGGGAGGAGAAATATGTCTCCAGTGTGATGAGGAGGCAAACGGATAATTAGAAAAGAAAGTGGAAAGAGGGAAGCCATATGTTGGGGGTAGGAAAATCATCTATTTAATTTCAAAACAGAGCTTTGTGAAGATTAAAGGAAAAACAACAATCCCAAATGTGTTATTTATCCCATGAGATGGAGTCCTAAAATTCATAGTTAAAGTTGACTGGGTAGGCCTGCTGGAAGAGATAGGTCTTCAGATGTGTTTTGAATTCCAATAGCTCATTTATCTGTCAGATTGCTTTCAACAGGTCATTCCACAGCCTTGGGGCACAAAGATCACAGTGGTGGGAGCCAAAAACAGGAAGGAAAAGTGGGGAGAGAGAACAGAGGACAAGGAGAAAAGGCACTTGAGTAGAGAACCCTTGTAAAGCGCGTGAGCCAATTTGCTCCATTTAAGAAATTCTTTTGGATTTAGTTATCACCAGTCAAGAACACCATGAATAGTGTATTAATGAGCTTGTACACTGTAGACTGCTCTCTAAACATGGTATCTGATTTTTGAAGAGAAATCTTTATGTTATTTCAGGGATAAATTCATTTTCGACCCTTTCTAGCCCCAAAGAATACTTTTGCCTAGTTCTTTTTTGTTTGTTTGTTCATCTCTTCTGTTCCTAATTCCCAAGGGAGCAAGAAGCATATGAAATAATTATGAGACTCACAAAAAGGAAGTATTAAACATTCACAACCCTCATAAAGATTTGATTCTTTAACCTTGGTAAAAGAACAAAGCTCAAAAGAAAAGGTGTTTGATAAAAATAGTGTCTAGTACCCTTTAAACTTTGGTTTTCTTACTCCCATAAAAATGTCAGATTTTTTCAAAGGGCACTTCTTTCTTAAAGGGTCATTCACGTTCATTTGAAGAAACACCTCCCCCAACATTTGAAGGATTTAAAAATAGTTGTTTCACATCCACTATCATTTATTATAAAATAAATTGGTTTCTTGTTTTGCCCAGCTGGGGACTACAGCATTGGAAAAGGTCCCAAGTTGAGTCCCTAACAGCAGTAGGTACAACTAACCAGGACTACAAATGATTTGCCATTGGCTGTTCTGACTTCAGAATTGCGAAGAAATAACTTTTTTAGGGTTCTGACCATTTGCCATTTTATTTGGGGCTTGGGACTTGCAGTTTTGTAAGAGGTTAACCCTTCTCTATCTGAGAACTCTAGTGCTACAACAACCTGAAAATTCCAGGTTTGCACTGGATGCAGCCAATGGAAGTCAAAGTGATGTCAAAGTACTATAATTATGCAGTGTGGATGGGCTGTAAGATAACTATCCCTAATGCAGACAGTACCTTGGAACTAACCCCTCGCATGCTATAAGGCCGCTCTCTGCTGCCTTTTCATATAGGTTTTGTTTGTGCGGGGTGGGATGCAGTTGATTTGTTTTTGTTTTGTCATCCAGTGGCTTCACCTCCAGAAACTGGTGCTTCTATACAGATCTTCCATTTCATTTTAGCAGGAGTGGGGAAAGTGCCTTCACAGGCCACATACAGTTCCAACATCTTTTTTATCCCTCCAGCATCCCAAGAAATGCCCCCAAACCTTCAGCCACACCACCCCCTTTTTGAGAACATAACTGAAAAAGAACACTAACTGCTGCAAAATGGTACCAAACTAGAATTCTTTCTTTAGATCCCCTCCCATCTTAATCCTCACAATTAGAATAATAATAATAATCTGGAAATAAATCCAGTTTTTGGTTAAACATGAAATTAGAAGTGAGTCACATCACTTTTGGGCTGCCAGAAATGTAACAACAATTGGCCTCAACCCTGTCATAATTGTCCATCTACCATTGACAGATAGTAGAATTACATATGAGTTATAGTAGTAGTAGTAGTAGTAGTAGTAGTAGTAGTGAGCCTGTGACAACTTTAAGACAAAACTATCATAGGAATTGTTTGGGGGGTGGCCTTTGCCTTCCTCTAAGGCTGAGACAAATGTGACTTGCCCAAGGGTGCCCAGTGGGATGCCATGACCAAGTTGGGGAAATCAAATCCTGATCTCAAGGGCTCCAATACAATACCCAAACCACTGCACCACACTATAATAGGGCATTATGTTACCCTTCCAGATTATTTATGGATCTTCAGTGTTTAAGTGGTCAGTTACATTGATATTTTTTTTTAGGCATACAGTGGACTAGGAGCAGTATGCGTTTCTTGCAATATGATTATTTATCACATGCTTTCACTAGAATGTGGGAATCATTCTAGTGATAGAAACTTTATTCCATAGGTTTCTATTGAATAAGAAAAGGAAAAAGTTGTTTGTTTTCGGGGGGGGGGGGGGTTAGTAAAGAACCCAATGTTTCTTTACAAGATGCTGACCTTTGTCTTCCCGTCCAGCTCTTGCATCCAGATTAGTGTGTATGTGTGTTTGTTTATATGACAGTTCATTATTTAAGCCTAGCCTGTCAAAATAGGTTAAATAATCTTTGGGAAATATGGTTACATCTTTGATGCGATAAATGTAGGAAAGATTGGCTTGATAAGAGAAGCATAACAAACTTTCATCACTAAAAATATTTTGTCATTTTTTCCATTTGGGTTTCTAACAACATTAGTAAACTATAAAATCTCATTGCAATACATTTCTCGAACGGCCACACAGAAACACCTGCAAAGCATTGAAATGATTGCAGATGATTAATTCTAAGTACTTGACCCTTTGACCTGTTTTACAGATATATGACCAAGATGGGACACTACAGCACTTTATTGATGGTGGGGAGCCCAGTAAGTCAAGTTGGATGAGGTATATTCGATGTGCAAGGCACTGCGGGGAGCAGAACCTAACTGTAGTCCAGTACAGGTAAAGTCTTTTTCAGTGTGTTCTCTCGATGTCTGAGTTATTTGTTGTGACAAACATTTTTGAAAATAAAGTGAGTGTCAGAAATAAATATATCATGAAGCATTATGTGAATGACAAATGTTATTGTAGCCTTTATAAACATAAAGGTGACTGGAGTTCCTTTCATTTTCACTACTAGGCTCTGGGTGAAATCCAGAAGTACCTTTCCACAAGTGAAAGAAGTTTTTTTCTGAATTAGTGCAAGTTCTTTCTGTGAGGAAAGACCATTGAAATCTTGTGATGCATTCCTGTGAACATAGATAATGTGAAGGATATTCCAAAGATTTTGCAAATTCTCTTACATTTATGTTGTACAAGGCATAGCTCATTTGTTAAAAATACTGATAAACTACTTGAAGGTAACTAAAACATACAAGATGAAACACAAGAAATCAGCATATTAATCAATATTCAGCGCAAAGTAGAAGAAGGACTGAGTGAAATGTATTATTCTGTTATTTAAAAATGACTCTTCCAATAGTTGGGTTGTTGTGTGTTTTCCGGGCTGTATGGCCATGTTCCAGAAGCATTCTCTCCTGATGTTTTGCCTGCATCTGTGGCAGGCATCCTCAGCGGTTTGGAGGTCATGGTCATACAGCCCGGAAAACACACAAGAACCCAGTGATTCTGGCCATGAAAACCTTTGACAATACATTTTTCCAATAGTTCATTCTTAAAAAAAGATTATTATAAGGTGATTATGCTTTACAAGCAAAGACTACTATAAATGGATTGCAAACACTGTGGAATCTCTCTCCATTGATACTTCTAGCTAAGAAATCAGTTTCTCCATCAGTTTTGAAGTCCAAGTCCTGTCCTATATATCCAGTGTTTAGCATTGTCTAGCTGACAGCAGCAATGTGCTAGGTCTTTTGCTATCAGTTGTGGAAAAGTGCTTCTGCAAAAAAAATATTTGACTGACATTTATCTGCATCCTGGTATGATAAAGACCACGTACTTCCTTGTGTGGTGAAGTTCACATTTTATGCACATTTTTATGCATCATAGAAAGTGAGCCATTCTAGAACAAGAGCCAACTTGGTGTGTTTGTTTGAACATGAACATGGGACTCTGGAGACCAAGGTTTAAATCTGGATGCAAGAGCAGCCATGGCAACCCGCTGGGTGACCTTGGCAAAGTCATACTCTCTCAGAGTCAGGGGAATACAAAGGCAACCCCCTCTGAACAAACCTTGCCAAGAAAACCATGTGATATGTTCACTTTAGGGTCAGAAAACTCAGAAAAGACTTGAAAGCACACAACCACAATGTTAGAGCAAACTGGTTTATATACTTCTACTAAGATAAACCCCTGAAGTTTAATTGCACTAATTATGATGAAAATGCATATTTGATTGTAGCCTAGGAAATCTTGTAGATCCCTAACTAAAGTATATGTCCTACTGACTGCTTATACTTACTATCTGGCTTAAGTTTGCAGTCTTAACCTTTTAACTTAGCATACTGTTTTACACATTGGTCAAGCAGATACTTCTAGGAAACCCACAAGGCCAAGCAAATACTTCTAGGAAGCCCACCTAAGGTTTGGCTCCCATTAGCTACCACTATATGTAATTATTCTGTTTCACAATCATAGCTAGTCTCCAGTGATAGACCCATACTTCATAAATTTCCTTCTTGAAGCCATTTAGAAAACTGTTCCTTGAACTTTCCTAATGTGTGGGACCAGCATTTTCCTCAGTGTGTGCTCAGGAGTAGTACTATCTTTATGCATATTGGTTACAATTGTTTCTTTAATTCTTGAGAACTTGCCATGGATGGGAAGTCAATAGCTCATAGACTTACACCAGTCATTAGATCACAAATTTTAGCAGCATTAGTCTAGAAGATCAGTTTCTTGCCAAATGTAACTAAACACTCCACGTCACACATTGATGCTTTCTGCTTGTATTCCCAGAATGAAGAGAGCTGGCTAGAAAATTACATGTGAGATATATGCCTGAAATAGATATGTGACTGAGCTCTGTCAAACAGAAACTAAACCATCCTAATGGTACAAAGAAGAATCTCTTCTGCAGTTTCCCACCCTCTTTACTGCACACATTACAAGAACATAAGTAACTGAGGCTAATAGTGAAATAAGTTCCCAAAGACATTTTTAAAAAGTTTGTTTGTTTAGCAGACATGACTTTTCCCTTGACAGTCCTATGGGCTTGGGAGAAGTCACACCTCCTAGACATGTCCCTTTGGTGCAGCTATCATAGGAGCAAAGAAGTCTTGAAGACAAAGATTTGGCAGCCAGCTACAGGGACCTTGAGTTCCATTAAACACTATTCACTGTGTATCCATTTTTCAAATACCAGTGTACTTTGTTGGAGCACAGCTGTCTTTAGCCACAAGATCAGATACCCATTCATGTTGGAAAGGTGAGATTGCACCTCAAAGGTCACCTTCTGCTGGAATCTGTCTATGAAAAAGAGCAGAATCTCTAACAAATTAAGGAGTAGGTAAGAAGCATGCAAAGCTGAACCCAAGTGTATGACTACAAGTTTATATTTGCCACCAAAACAACTAGTTAAAAGTACAGTCAGCCTTTCATATCCACAGATTCTGCATCCATGATGCCACAGCTTGAAAGTATTCCGAACGTTAAAAATTACTGAAATTTTCAATTTTATATAAGACGTACCATTTTGCTAAGCCATTGTATACAATGGAACTTGAACATCTATAGATTTTGGTATCCATCTGGGAGTCTGGGAACCAAATGCTAGCAGAAACCAAGGGCCCACTGTAGTTTAAAATCAGAAATAAATGTTTACCATTCTTATATATTATAACCACAGGAAAGAGTGTCTGTTTCACATCTGCTACATTACCTAGAGTTTTTTTTATTAATTAGACACTGTTTCATAAATAGACAATGGCCAACTTGTATATTTTTCTAGGCTAAATATTAAACTAGATAATATCTAATTGAAGCTTGTTAATCTGTTTTACTAGAAGTGCAGTATCAAAAGTTTTTCTCTAAAGTCAGTTGCAACAGTGCTCAGTGTGAACAAAAGAGTATGCTATATATCCCACCATCAAGAGCAGGAGGGTGCATGGTTAGCAATGTGGGGCAGAGTATTTCCTGTAAGGAATTCCCTCCCAAGGAAATGCATGATTAGTCTCCTCTCCGTTCATTTTTAGGTGATTAATCACGTTACTTTTGCTTGTTTTCATTTTCCGTGCTTTTAAACATAATATTGAAGCTGATCTGTGAAATTTTGATAGCCCCGCTGTTAATTTGTTTCATAGTTTTGGATTTCCTTTCTTCTCTTTTCTTTACTCCACCACTTTAGGGACCCATGTGGGATAAAAGGCAGGTTATAAAGATTTTAGCTGATCAAAAACGGTAAAATAAATAATTGTTTAGAGAAGACATTTTGGTGTTAGAGTCTGGAAATTTTCTGGGAGTGTTCAGATCACCATATTCATATATGTAGACTTTGTGTGTTGTAATGTTGCTTTCACACAAAGTCCTGTGTGTGCCAAGGTCCTGCCTAGTGCCTATGTCAGTTGATGCATAAAATAGATGGATGTGCTACCTGTTCCTAAAGAAAGGACTCATGTGAAGAGCTGCTTCTTCTACTGTGGGACTGTAGGGCAGTGCTTGTAGACACAGAAGATATTTGTGTGCACTTGGCCACAACAAATCACTGGACTAGAGTTTGCATTTTTGTGTACACACATAAGGAAATCGCAAGCAAAATCTAGCCATGAGAAAGTCATTAAGCATCTATCAATATTAAGTGGATTTTACAACTTTCCTTTGGTTCTGTAGCTGTTTTTAGAGTTCCCTGTGTTGATCTGTTTTCTATTACTTCAGATCTTTAAAAAATGAACTACAAAAACTTCAGGGGAAAAAACCTTGGCATCTATCACTAGGAATAACATCCAAGTGTAAGAAAATAGAATAGTTGGACACTGAAAAACCGTCTAATTTTTATTGTACATGGACGTCCTCCTCACAGAAAGTCAGCTGGTTTAAATTCATTCTGTTATGATTTGTAATATCTAAATGGAATTTTCTTCAAAGCACTCTTGATTGATTGACCCTTAGCTGAACGTTTTGTTTTTATTTTGAAGCTGACAATAATGTTTGTTGGCATGTGTTCTGCTTCAACTGCGTTGGGACGCCACGAAGCTATCTTTATGAGTCATCCAACCACAATACTAAATACATGTCAGCAAAGGAAATATTATCCGAAAGAGGAAAAATCTCTTTGATGTACTTCAGCATGCAGAGATTTCTGCAAGTTTTGGAAGCTCTGTACGCTTGTAAGGAATGGTGTACGCTTACATTTCCCTCCACTTTTTTTTTTTTGGCCTGCTCCAAGCCTCAGAGACCACCCATTGCTCGAAAACAGTTCAACTCTTTCAGCAGCAAAGTGTGTCACTGGGTTTTAGCACATTCATTTGCTGGGCTGCTGTGTTTATGTTAGGTGAAGCCAAACAGAGAGATGAAAAGTTACAAGGGTGAAGTACAAAGTAGACTCTTTTTTCCCCCCTAGGTCAGGAGATGCGGGTGATTTATGGCACTGCCCTGATTTTTATTTTTATGTAATGGTGGAAAGAATTAATAAAATGTACAGCTTGGGTGGAAATAGGTGAAGGGGTGGGGAGAAGGGGCAGGAAAGAGACGAAGGCAGGAGTTTTTGTCAGATATTCATAGGATGTTGGGAAAATGCATTCTGCTTACCCAGCAGTGCCCTCCTGAGACAGGGTGGCAGCAAGCGAGGAAAATAACAAGATAAATGAAATTTTTGCAGCTGCTCGTAAAATATTGAGAATCTGCACTTTTTTATTGATCTTTATGATCCTGTTGCCAAGAGCCACTTTGCGGTGACAAAATATGTTGACAAGTGCATATCTCACTGCCATGAAAAATGTGGTTACGGATTCTCCTGATGTCGGCAGTGTTATACGCGAAACAAATTGCACCACTCCGGCCAATTCTTTACAAAGAGGCTAAATTTAAGACTTACCGATCCTCTACACTTTTATCTCAAACTTCAGGCTAATATTGGTAGCAATTCTTCACTGCAGAAACTAGTTGAGATTGGACTTCCTTTTTTCAAAAAAGGCCATTTACATTCATACACAAAGTGATGTAAAAGAAAATGGTCATTTTTCCTTACTGTGGTGGTATCATTCTGGTAAGTAATATTTCAGTCGGAATGGAATGCTAGTCTTGTATTTATTGAATTGCTATCCATCTCATATAAGGATGCTTTACTTTTCTGTAACAGGCTTTAGTGACAAGCCACTTTGCAATAATAACATTTTTACTTCATCTCCTAAATGCCCAGTCTCACATTGGTTTCTCTTGGCTGTATAGTTAGATTTGATTGTTATTGATTTATATCTTCTGTCTAAGTAAATTTTGAATGTTAGTATCATGATGAGATGCTAGATAAATAGAAATATAAGAAATAGAATTGTAAATGGCTAGACACCTGGGTTTAAGAGCAAGTCTGGTTCTGTTTTCTCAGGTACATGTAGAGTGTCTCCTATCAGAAATGGTTAAGATCAGAACTATTCTATATTTTTGAGCTTTTCATATTTTGGAATACTTACCAATACAGAATGACATATCTTGGAAATGGGAGCAAACCAACACACAGAATTTATTTATGTTTCATATATACCATAGCATACAACCTGGAAATAATTTATCCATTTCCTCCCAGCAATTTTGTGTATGAAACAATATTTGTACTTCGATCCATCAGAAAGCAAAGATGTCACTATGTCAGCCACCCATGTAAATAGTTTTGGATTTTAGAATATTTCAGATAAGAAACGCTGAACCTGTACACATTTTAGGCCATAATACATAGATACACTCTGTATCCAATCTGTGGGAGTTCCTTCTAAATTACTATGGATAAGATTGTGGTACAAATAGTTTTCATTTTGACTATATTTTAATGAAGGAATAGTTGGCCCTCTGTATCCACAAATTTAACCATGGTTAGAAAATATTTTAACCTTGATTTTGCTATTTTATATAAGGGATACAATTTTGTTATAGCATATATAAAGGGACTTGATCATCCACATATTTTTGCATCAACAGAGGGTCCTGCAACCAAGCCCCAGCAGATACTAAGAGCCTACTGTATAACATAAGTAAACTGACATATAACATAAGTAAACTGACATACCTAGTTTTTTGTTTGTTGAGAGCTTTTTGGTGTTGTTCTTAAGGTTTCTTTTTAAATATTAGTGACTTTTACAAATCTGTACTATTTATACAAACACTTATCTTGATAGCATGGGAATTCATTAATGTTTATACCAATTTTCAATCAATTAAAAATACAAAAAGGCATTCACAACAACAAAAACTAAAAACTGACTTTTTAAAAGTAAAATGGATCTAGGTCTACTGAAGCTCACAAGGAAAAATGTTTGAGTGAAATTAAACAAAGAAATATTTTTAGTCTACATTTTCATGGAAGAACAAGGATGTGAGTTCTAGACTCTCACAATTGTAGTCCAACACTCAAATTGTTGCTCTAGTAGATTAATATATTTTTAAAAAAAACACACACAAACAAATATGGAAGGGATTCCTTTTCAGCCATTTAACTCAAAGGTTGACCTTGGCAAGGTCACACTGTTTTAGCCTCACGGTAGGTGATGGTTAAAGCTCCTCTGGACAAACCTTACCAAAAAAAAGCCCTGTAATAGGTTTGCCTAGGTTCACTATAGATCAGAAATGCTTTGAAGGCACAGCACAACAAGTTATGCTAGCTGCTAACTGGTGTTAGGAAAACAGGGGCAGCTCTGAATCCAGCAGATTGAAATGTACTTCTTTCCAACTTGGGAACACTTCAAGTGAGAAAAGCTTTCCATGAATTGAGCGCTTAGGACTTCATCACAAAGAGCTGGAGAAAACGAAGGAAAGTGGGGGAAAGGGTGGAGTTTCATGGGGGTCTGTTTTTAAAGAAGACGAAGAATTTCCCATCACATGGGCAGGTGATTACTCCTCTCATTTCAAGGATACCAGCACACTTTTAAAACAGGCATTCTTTAAGGCCTTTAAGGCCTCTCCACTGAAGCAGATTTAATGCATTTTTCTTAAGGTGACGTTGTCCATGGGGTCATTTACACTCTAGACCCTCCCACTGAAACAGAAGCACCTTTCTAAAGGTGGCCTTTTCCCTGGGGTCATTTGCACTGAGATTGTCCCACCAGGATTTTGATTATTTATCATTTTTTAAAAAACATCACCCCAGATATTAGGAAGTGGTTATAAATTAACCCTAATCTTTCGTCAAGCCTCTCTGCATTGGTAACCTGGGGAAATGGGTATGAGCAAACAGTGGTTTGAGCATTGTCCCTGGGAAACCAGGACTCAAATCCTTTGTCAGCTTTAGAAAACCAAGGGATGAATCACATTTTTTACCCTTGGAGAAAGGCATATGGGGCAGCTCTGAATATGATTGCTGTGAGTATCACATTGCGTGTATGTGTGTGTGTGTGTGTGTGTGTGTGTGTATATATATATATATATATATATACATATATACATACATACATATTGTGACATTTTAAAATGCATAGTTGTATACACAACATTGAAGGATGGTAAGCAATCTCAATTTCCAGGAATTTTTTAAAAAATATATGAGACAAAATTGTTATGGGTTCCCTGGGAAAATGGCAATTTTATTGTCTGGCTTTTAGAATGATACTCAGAGTTCTGATTACTTCCTGATTTGTTACTTTACTTGAAAAATTATTTACTTTAATGTATTTCTTTTAGAATAATTAATTAATCATATTATTAATCACACTTTTCTTTTGTTAAAAAATCTGCCTAAACCAAACATAAACGCACTAAAAACATATGTGTTTTAGTTACCTTCCTAGCCCAATGATTTTTTGTTGCAGTACCATATATTTTCTCATATTTTTCTCCTGAGTCAGATTGTCTGAAGATAAATAGTTCTGAATTCCATTTCCTTCCCTAAGGACAAATAGGTTATAATGTACCTAATCCTGATCTTGCATTTCTGTCATGGCTAAGTTGGGTCAGCTCAGCCAGCAGAACTGGATCTTAGTGGAAAGCAGCTTTCACTACTCTGTACTGTTTTGCCACTTTGTATTGATGAGATGGATCCTCCTTAAGAATTATAAACATTCATTCACTGTTTCCTTCTGACCAGGTCAAACATATTCTACCGAGCTTGCATGGATATTCCCAGGGGAACGGAATTGTTGGTGTGGTATAATGACAGCTACACATCTTTTTTTGGAATCCCTTTACAGTGTATTGCACAGGATGAGAACTGTAAGTGTCTAATTTTGTCTAAAATTACTTTCATGTTAATTAAAAATATACATTTTAAAATATGAGAATGCTCAGTTTGTGTTAAAGTACTGTAAAATTTTCGAGCTAGAAATCAATTTTTACGACACCAGATAAACCTGTTGTCCAAGTAGATGCCACAAGAATGATATTCGATCTATTAAGCAAATAGGAAAAACTACTTGGAAAATATCAGAACTGAAGAGTTTAGTATCTGTTGAAATAGTAACTACAAATACCAAGTGGCTACAAAAATGTTTTAATAGTAAGGCAGGATATAATATTTCCTGTTGTAGAGCCATGTTCTGATTGTGAAGTCAGATGGAGATGAATTTGAGAGCCAAGAGCAGCCAAAGGATAATGAGTGACAGGAGGATATGAAATATTTTTTTCTTAGACTACTCTAAGGTCATTGCAAAGGCCTCTATGCTGTTTACAGAAGGACACAGAAATTATTTAGATGAGTTACAACCAGCCAGAATGGTCATTAGTCACCAGCTATTTTTGGACTTTTAGTCCAAAAAACATAACCTTTCCATGCTCTGAAGATATACCATTAAAAGAAATGACCTTTTAAAACTTGTTCTAGATAGGTTTTCTAGAATTATCACTAAGATTTTCCCTGAATACAGCCACTTGGAGAAACTTAATTTCATACTGATATTTAGAAGAAATAGAGACTATGATTTGCTTTATTTACTGTTTAGAAGAGTTGAGTTCTGATGCAAATATATGTTTATATAGCAGCTAGAATTGTGTAGAAATTGCTCCAATAACAAAGCAATACCTGCAGAATCAAAGTATTGCAGATTTATGACTCCTAGCTATGTTGACTCTTACCTGAGTGGAGAAATGCATATATCTCCCTGCCTGTTGTTTTGGTCACATTTTTCACACATGAAAACACATCCATATTGCTTTCTTGGTTATACTGGTAGAAGTATATTAAATAGTGAATATTAAATTGTGAGTTCACATTCTTGGTATCACACTCAAATTTGTTGTTGTTTATTTGTTGAGTCGCTTCCGACTCTACGTGATCAAATTATTTCCATTTTATGAACATTTTAGGACACAACACTGGTAATTGAATCCTGGTCTACTCATGCACAGGTAGACTGTACTATGTGGATGTATGAAGAGAAGTAAGGATATTTAGAACTTTGTGATAGTGAGGAACTCAATAAAAATACATCAAATGAAACAAAAAAATTTAAAGTGTAAAGACTAATGTTTTTCTGGTTACTGTATTTTCTGCAGAAAACTTTTATATAAAACCAACATTTTTGAGATGGATAAAATTGTATTTTGTATAAAACACATTATTTGTAAAAAATAGTTTTGAAATGCAAATAATATTAGAGAGGCATCATTTTTATAACCTTGCCCACAAGAAGAAAAAAATGGAGATAAGGTTACATCAAGGTGAAGGTTCTATTTTCATCCCTTCTTGCAAGCACAAAGCTTGCAAAGAGGAGTATTTTAGACCAACTAATTATTTTCATGTGCTACATTTCCATTTATTACATATTTTACAGGGGGTTTATTACAGAAAGCCACATTACAAATGAAACCACCAGGGTGCTACTCCACCAAGATAAAACCCATTGCTGCCCAACCCAAAAAATAAAGACACTGGACAACAAAGATTGGATTAATTAAGTGATTTGTTAACAGTTACCGATTTAACTGCTTTTTTGTGATAACCAAATCTCAGTGGGGGGAGCAATTTGGTGCAGGAGTGGTGGAGTGGTTCTTCTCCCTAGACCAGAGCTGCCAGCCTCCCTGGGTGAAAACACCATAATTCCCTGAGAATAATCCTTGAAACTCAAGGTTGCTCCCAGGTCCATCTAATAACCTAGAAAAGAAGACAAAAATAAATTTCAAAGTATTCACAAGGGGAATTTATTAATGTAGTATAAGGGTGGGTTGTTTTGAGACATTAATTTCATACTTGGTGGTGCTGGAATTCATGGGTGAAGGGTTCAGGGGAATGGCATACCTGCATTATGTGTATTCGATTATCTTTAGATGTTTTTCTTTCTCATATTCTGTATGTCACCAATTCACTTAATAAAATCTTTTAGCCAAAAAATTTAAAAAATAAAAACAAAATATAATAACCTGGAAAAGTAGACAGAGGGTGTAAGCCCCCAGGAAAAAGACACCTCTGTGTATCTACCAGACCTAAGGAGATTTTCTCCCAACCTCAAGATTGCATGATATACAACAATAGTTCCAAATTCCCACCCTACACAAATGTTTCAAACAGTGTATCACCAAATTGTATTTTCCTCCAACACCTGCCATGGAGACCTATTTAAGACACCACCTTTAGCCAATTGTTTCATTCCCCATGACAGTGCAGGGTGGGCAAAAAACCCTTGTAAAGCGGAGGGAATCCTGCCCAAAGTAACCAAAGGTATTACATTGTGTAAGGAGGTGGGAAGGTGGATCAAGAATTCAAAGAGGAAAGATAGAGGATAAGATGCCTTTTAAACACCAGCAGGAAAAGCCCTCTGACTGTAAACACCACACCGTTGATTGGAAAACAATCCTTTTATTGAAGGTAATTAAAAAGCAGCAAGTAAAAAAGCACTTTAAAGAAATAAGTAAATCCAATTAGGTAAGAAGATAAGCAGGAGCAAAAATAGTCCAGGGTACAGTTCAGCAAAGTCCATAAAAACAAAGTCCACACTTCCCTAATATAATTCAGAAAACCAGGAAACATTAATCCAAGGCATTCATACAATCCAAGAATCCAAACCCTGAAACAAGAAATACTTAGACAAGAATCTTCCCAGCAATGCTTCCATGAAACAAGAATGAGAACTTCACTTGATTCCAAACGATACTTCATCTGACTATATTTTCCATACTTGGAACTGTTATCCCCTCATTAAACTATTCCAAACACTCAGAAATTGGTTTTGCTTTAATTGAGATTCCCTTCTCTTTTTCTGTCGGATACTGGCAGACCTCCGAAGCCACTGTTCGGTCTGCCTGTTGTAACTAATCTCCTGCCACCTATCTATTTGCTCATTACATTTTACAGCTGGGCCAAGTGCCCAGTTGTTTCCAAGCCCCAGATCCTGGGAACTCTCTGGTAGCAATTCAGGGAGTACACTATCCCCACACCCTTCAGGGATATTCTCATGGGAAACTACACTTTGCACAGGGGTCTCCTGGTCCTTCTCTGCATCAGTATCATTGACCAAACCATTGCCATCTTGAAATTAATTGGCATCACTTCCCACATCCAAAGCACCCTGATCCTGAAACACAATCACAGGCTGAACTCCAACAGTTATAGAGATAAGAGAGATTGTGCGGAGGTCTCTTCATTGAAGATTCTTGGTGCGGGGCTAGTGGCTTGATGGTTGCTGGGGCTTGCCCTCTACCGCTTGGCAACCGTGCAGGCCCAGAAAGGCCCTAGCAGGCCCGCACACTTTGGGCCTATGTACACGGGCCTTCCAGGGTCTGCAGCCAAGTTCTGAGTAAGGAGTGCTGCTTACTTAGTACTTGGCTGCAGGCCCTTGCAGGCTGACATGAGTAGGCACAAAGCGTATGGGCCTGCATGGTTGCCAAGCGATGGAGGGCAAGCCCCAGCAACTGACAAGCCGCCAACCCCACGCCAAGGATCTTCAATGAAGACCTCAGTAGCAGTGGCACAAGGTAAGTTTCCCAAATAAATTGGGAAACAGCAGCAACCCTAAAACTATGGGGAAGGGGAGCATTTGTATAGGATCACCTACTCATTGCCGCCAAAAGGACAACAATATTTGGTTTTTTTTTTCAGATGTGGGACAAAAAGTTCATTTTCAGAAGTGTCGCTCAAAAACTAAAATGGGGCCATACGAATTAAACAAACAGATCCTATACAAATGCATGAGAGTAGTAACTATTATTCCATGTAGCTGTGCCTTGCAAGTTCTGTCTCCACTCCATCCATTTCCTACTGATTTCATTCAGATTACTCTTTTTACATTCCTGCTAACAGCAAAGAAAAAAAGGAGTCAGTATCAAGTGCATAATGCTGCTAATGGTTGTGAGGCAACAGAGATCCTGAAATAAGCTATTCTGTGAGAATGCAGAGGACTTTCCACTTCCATCTAGTTATTGTTGTTGGAGTGGTGGGTGGATGTGTTTGCTCATAGTCCCAGCCAGCATCCCACATAGTTCCCAGGTTTAATCCATGTTAATATTAGATTCTTGTTGTCCTCAGTGAATAAGCATTGGGTGTGTTTATAGTAGCTGGAATATTGCTTCATATATCTGAAATATCTTTGTTTTTCTTTCTTTTCTTAGTGAACGTTCCTTCAACAGTAATGGAAGCCATGTCAAGGCAAGACAGCCTCCAGCCATTTAATAAAAGTAGCAAACTGCCCTCTGCCATTCCACAGCAGTCCATAGTATTTCCACAGACTCCGTGTAATAGGAATTTCTCTCTTCTGGATAAGACAGGCTCTGTGGAATCAGGATTTAACCAGATCAGTGTGAAAAACCAGCGAGTGCTTGCAAGTCCAACATCAACAAGCCAATTAAATTCTGAGTTCAGTGACTGGCACCTTTGGAAATGTGGGCAGTGCTTTAAGACTTTCACCCAACGGATCCTCTTACAGATGCATGTTTGTACACAGAACCCTGACAGGTAAAACATGGGAACTCTTTACTTTTTTATCCAGTGATAGTAAGTGCCATTGTATTCTGATTTTATCAGGATTTACCCTTTTCACTATCACAGCCTTATTAGAAGGGACCGGTACAGTGCAATTCATCTGCTGTTGTGTGAAATGAACAGATAAATGGCCATAAGTTACCTTTAGTATTTGTGAAAACATTGGGTAAATAAAGATACAGATAAGAGAAAATGGCTAAGAATATAATCTGAGTATAGCACATCCACTGGAAAGAGGGGGAAAATGAAGGAAAATATATGGATATCTCAGATGAGAAGAAAGAGGTCAAGATAATTAAAAGTCGTTCTGTCTCTGAAAGATAATATAACTTGCTGCTCAGCAGCTGTCATAGTCATTTCAGGGTTCACCTATAGTGTGCAATGTGTATGAACTTAATTAAGTACTAAGAGGTAATGAATTGGAATTTTTTGCTTAGTACTATTTTTCTTCAGAGCATGCAAAGCCATAAATCGTGCAAAGCTGTCAAAAGGAAATACCTACTCTACCAGTGATGTGGAGGAAAACAGATGCCACTTATTCAATAAACTAATATCCACACAGAAGAAAAATGTTGACTAGATACCTCAGAGTCAAAGTTGGTTTGAAAGTTTGTCAATACAGAATTTTATGGCCATGAACTGAGGATGAATTTTAGCTGAACAAGTGAATTAAAATTTCAGGTACTCTGACCATTGCCCCAGTAGAGATAATGGAACTATTATTTATGAATCAAATCTAGTTTATTTGACAACCTTGATAGCTGGCAGCACAATAGACAAAAATCAGATTAATCCAATAAAAGGACTGCTCTTTTTTCTTTTTTGTCTTGAGTAGCAAAGAGATGCTTACTCTAAAAGATGTGCTCCTGGAATAATCATTTGGGGGTGCAATCCCCTAAGTAAGGCTACCACACTTCCTTGTGGTGAAAATGCATGGCATTAGAGGAAACATTAGCGAGGAAACTCTCTCTTCTATAGCTCTACTGTCTCTGCCTTGTGCGTTACACACAGAATTACTTTAACACAGAGTTGGAGTAAAACTGGTTCCTAATCATTTTTTTGCTTTCCAAACTCTACTTATAAAAAGTAAAACGCTGACAAATCTGCAATCATTGCCTTTTTGAGGGGGGCTGAAAATACTCCCAGAGGTGAATATTCCAAGCAGACACCCAGCCACTTCTAGGTCAGATTTCTAGCTTACCTTCAAACAAGAAAGAAGAGATTCATAACTTCCAAGGGCTTTCTGGAACAAAAATTGGTCCCTGCCCCACTACATATACACACTTCTAATTTATAGGAATATATTTGCAGTGATTACTTTTCTGTAACCTCTGAAAGACAGCCAGAGTACTATAGCAGTTTGAGTGCCAGATCAGGACTCTAGGAGATCAGAGTTTGAGTCTCTGTTTGGCCACAGAGATCTGCAGGCTGCCCTTGGGCAAGTTGTACCCTCTCAGCCTTACAGGAAGGCTGTGACCAACACACTTTGAACAAATCTTGCCTAGAAAACCCTGTTATAGGTTGGTCTTTGGCTCACCATAAGTCAGAAATGACTTGAAGGCAAACAATAGCAATCTCTAAATGCAAGATTTCAGAGATATTTTAATTTAACTATAATATTTTCAAATTATTCAATATGGCCATATTGTTTATTGAAAAGAAATAGGAAAAAGGAATAATAGGTGTTTCAGAGCCCATGTGCATTTTGATCATTATGTGGGCCAGCTACATACTGTCCCTATTAATTCCACTGGCAATCAACCCCATCAGAAAGCCTGCATGGTGAATCCTGTGGTGCCTGTTGGGGAGCATGGGAACTTGTCGCCCCATGTCCTGCATCACCCTACTCACCTGAGTCCTCATCCCACAGGGGGAAATGTCGACTGCCTGGCTTCCCCTCATTGCTTCTGTTGCAACAAGGGAAGCCTCCTGGCAGTGGCATGCTTCAGTTCCTGGATAGTTTACTGCGGAGCCCCACCAGAAGTTCCTCTGCATTGTGGGATTGAAGCCAGCAGGCTCTGTCGTAAAACCGGTGCATGCTGCCGAAAACAACCTAATGTGACGAGGTTGTAAGTTTACAGCTAGGTATACAGTATATGTGAAACTGATTCCTCCATTGAGGCCCCTTTAAGGATATTTGCAACTTTATTTGTAAATTAGATATCCTACTCCAGACCCAGGTGTATGCATCTACATTATGCAGTTTCATACCTTAGCTCCAAGATATGAAACCATAGGTTTGTAGTTTGCTTAAAATCACTAGATTGTATTTCTGATTCTGGAACTCTGAGTGCTCTGCATTGTCACACTGATTTAAGGAACTCAAGCAGAGAATTTCCAGGCTACATCAGGATGGTGTATGATACTATGAAACTGGTGTAGTACCTGCATAATGAAGACATGCTCTACTTTGAGATAAATCCATAAAGCCCAATCTAGTTGCATTTAAAAAACTAACATTATGGAATCCACAGTAAATATTTCAAGAATGAATAATACATCCACAATAAGTATTTCATGAAATAATATTTATGCCTTTCATACTCTTCTAGGGTTAAGTTGACACAGAATGGCAGTTTTGACTAGGAAATTCTGGAAATCATAGCCTGAAAAGTATCAGTTCCAATCTCTGCAGTTGTTTATATTTTAATCCCACGGAACTAAGCCATCCAGCCTTTACACAGAATTGACTGATTAGGATATTCTTCTGTGAAGGGACTACTTTTATGGGTGCCTGATAACCCATTAGGGAAACGAAAGCACCTGCAAAGGTATATCTCTTTGCTTTCAAAGCAATCTAGCCCAGTTATGGATATTTTATTTCTAAGACACTCCATTTTACTGCCATTTTTACTGCTCTAAATATGGGCTCCACATGAAAGTCCAGAGTCTTTTCTCTCTGCAATCAAGTATGGTCCACCTCATTATATAAACTGTAGATGAGGAAATAAGTGTCTGAGAATTCCAAACTAATAAAAATTCAAAGAAAGCATTACTGTTAATAGCAGCTGATAGTTACATCATACTGAGAACTCAATTTTCGGGGTGTTCCAAGAAGTTGCTTTTGTACTGCGAGATTCACACAAGTGCACTGGTTAACATATAGTGTAGGGGAGTGCTGCACCTAAACTTTGGACACCAAATAACTGCAACTTACACCTTCATACAAGTTTTCAAGATTTATATAGACCTGTAAAATTGATGCCTTTATGCATGCACAATTTACCCAGGTCAAGGTTAAAGTTTCAGGTGATTAGGTCTATTGTACACATATCTGACATCCATACAAAGAATAAGGACAGACTCTTCAACATTGCCTGCTTTTATTATTATGAAAGTACAGATACAACTTACATGAAAACACAGTTCTTAAAACTTAAGGGACTGTTGGCCCTCTGCATCCACAAACTCAACCATCCACTGCTTAAAAATATTAAAAGGCAAAATTCAAAACTAGTTTTGATTTTTCTATTTTAGATAAGGGATACTATGTCTTTGTATATAATGGGGTGAGCATCCATAGATTTTGGTATGTTGAGTGGGAGTCAGGGGTGTCTTGGAACCAACACCCAGTGGATCCCAAGGACCTACTGTATATGCAACCATTCTCCTTGGATTTCTGGCCCCTTCCCTTTTTTTGCCTTATAGTTACTATTAATTTATAATCAATTAGTTATGAATTTCAGTTCCCAGAATCCCTTGGTCATCAAGGCCAGTAGCCATGTTGGTTGAGGGCATCTGGGACTAATAAGATCTAGTTTTATATGATCCTTGATATAATCCACTATGCAGAAACAAAACATGCTCTCCTTATCTGCAGTAGATTTGCTGTAGCATCTCTTCACAAACTGTAGATTAACTGATGATTATGAAATCGCCAAGAAGCCTGGAGAATGCTTATGTGTTCTGTTGAGAGTTTTGTGAGGAATTAAGTAAGATTAAGAGCATTTCATATTTACAATAAAGCCATTTGAATAGTATTTAATATAAGCTGCAAGAGCCACTTGTCTAAATATCATGCTAGGTGTTAATTGTCTTTAGGATAATAATTCAATATGTCCAGGTTTGTATGTACTTCTTATGTAAATTTGACATTACTTAGGGTTCTGAAATAGTTTTGACCATGTTGATTACGTTTCCTCTTACCCTACAATGCATTGTTAAATTATTTTGTGCCTCTCCTGGAAAGAATAAAAATGATAAAATCTCAAATCCACCCAGAATGAATCTGCTGGGGCAATTCCAAGGGTTTCCCCCCCATTGGTTGATTTTTACCCAGCCATTGGCAAATTGACTCACTATTCCTTGAACCAGGAGTCAGAAATTCCTTTTCTCTTCTGTTTTTCTGCTGCAGAAATTCCCAACAATCCCATTTGGGGGGCTCCAGAAAGGGGTAAGCGGAAGCCTTCAATCACAGTGAATCATTAAAAAAACCTATTTTGTAATTTATTTTTAAATTCAAGAGCAGTTCCTGTAATGAGCTATTTACCTGAATCTTTTTTAAAAAATTATTTGATTGTCACAGTGTTTAAGGGTTACTATGTGTTTGAGGTTATCTGGATATTTTCCCCAACAGTTTTATATGCCTTTTAGCTTTATAGTTCATTTTAATTCTATAGATAGACACATGTAGCATGTTTGATGGGATCGTGGATAGTTTGCATGCCAGTGTATCCCAGGAGATTTCTTTTAAGAAATGTTTCATCTCTCACTTTTCATGAATGATTAGCTGTGTGGTTTAAGCAGCTCAGTTATTTTTAATAGTTATTTTTCATATTGTTGTGCTCTTTTTATGGTTAAAATAGTTTGCTTAAACTGTTAGCTATCTTAAAATACTTCATATGCTATGTATAACATCAAATGTTTGATCCTAATTTTGCAGCTTACATATATCTTGGTGGGGCTAAAGTGGTTGCATTACAACTGAAGAGACCTGGGTTGCGATATATATTTAGTCTTGCAGCTCCCTGGTG